AATAATTGCAAATTTTGAACATGTAGTAACAACTGAACATTGCAAATTTTGAGCATTTAGTTAAAAATATGAACAATCACAATGCATCACTCCTATACTTTTGAACATTTAGTAAAAATATCTAAACAATCGTGAATTTTGAACCTTAAGTAAAAAATCTGAACATCACAATACACGTACAAATAATCTGAACAATCACAATACACCACACACATTTAGTAAAAAAAAATACTAGTATGAACAATAACAAATTTTGAACATTTAATAAAAAAAAAAATGGGAAATTCTCACCGGTAACACCCAACTTTTGTTTTTTCTCAACGGTAGAATGCAAAAAATTTTATTATCATTGGTAATCACCAATTAGTAATAATACTAATTTACTGGTAACATTAATGAAACTTTTACCTAATTATTGACTAACCATGGATTAATAATAACACAATTACAAACCTACCCTTCTAAAAAAATCACTTTCCTCCAAAGTTATATGCTACTTTCCCTCCTTAATCAATTACCCGTTTATATAAACCTTAAATAACCCAATTCTATTCGTACTCCTTGTTTTTCTTCTTCTCAATTTCTCTTAATACTACCATGGCTAAACAAAATGCTCCAGCGAAAGGTTCTTGAGACAGGAGGTCAGCTATAGGAAATGAGTCACCGTGATCTGCGACAATACTCAATTGTTTTCCAGTTAGATTAACAACAGAATTTGCAAGCTGACTGGAAATTAGTATACTAGATGAAGCCCTGAAGTTATTTGATTAGACATAAGTGGTTAAGGGAAATAAATAGGGGCAATTGAGTCATTTCGTAGCTAATTTTCCACTTAACATAGTAATCATGGTTAAGGACTTAGGTAAAAGTTTCATTAATGTTACCAGTAAATTAGTATTACTAATTGGTGATTACCAATGATAATCCAAAATATTATATTCTATCATTGAGAAAAAACGGAAGTTGGGTGTTACCGGTGAGAATTTAAAATCTATACAATCGTAAATTTAAAATTATTAGGAGTCAGACAAATTTGACTCATAACATCTTCGTACCTCAAAGTAGTAGAACTCTCCTTGGTATAACAACTCAAAATTCCCCTCCTTCCTTTACACTTCGAAAACCTGCTCTCAACCAAATTCGGAAGTACACTTGTATAATGGCGTGACACAGTTTCGCAAAAGTAAACTGTTTTGTGCAGTTAAAGCGTAGTTTGTTCCGAAAAGATGCTGGATTTGATTGATCGGACGGCTGCAATTTGGAGAGAGACTGAGTATGATGGAATTCGATGTTATGTTTTTAATATCATAACCTTGGAATTCCATTCTACCGTTGGACGTGTAATTCAGTCGAAACTCGCAATTTTCGGAGAATCCGAAAGGGTACTTTACTGTTGTTCCGTTGCGTGATCTGATGCACTTTTCTGAATTTGTTATTGCTTTTGTTGTTGATATGAAAGTGAAAATTATCACTAACATTATTATTCTTCTTTCTTTATTTTTTGAGGTATTTTTGCATATTTCTTATGTTTGAGACTTGGGTTACAGGCCTTACAGCACTAGAGAACAAGGATGATTTTGCTAGGTCGTAATTTCATTTGAACTTTCAATATGATATAATTGTGAATTTGTGATCCTATTATCATTTTTACGAGTTTTTTGAATTTTAGTAAATGATATGTTTAAAGGTACAAAGTCAAGTTGCCCCGTCAATCAATCCAATGACTGAATGAGTCTATTTATAGTCCCTTAAAGGAGATAAGGTAAGGTCAGCTCAACAAACTGTAGAAAGTTCTTGCTTTATGCATTACTATTGAAACGTTTAAAAGGGAGAAAAAAAAAGGTGTTAATTATGGTTGATTTTATTCACGTAATTAATATCATGACTTGTCAATTTGGGTCAACGGGCTGGGCTTGGGTCAAATTTAAGGTCATTTTAGTCGTTTGGTTCAACTGGTTTGCATCATTTAAGTTATTATAATACTTCCTCCGTTTTTTTACTCGACATAGAATTAGAGACCTAGATGATGAGAAATAGATAAAAAGAACAACATGTTTTGTGTGTGGCTGCTAACACACAAATAACCCCTGACAAAGTAACCCCTGATCGAGTAACCCTTGACCGACCGAGTAACTCCCGACCAAGTAACCCCTGACCAACCTAGTAATCCCAACCCAAGTAACTCCTGACCGACCCAGTAACACCCCCTAATTAACCCTCTGACCTAGTAACCCTTGACTTGTAACCCCTAACTGACTGGTAACCCCAACCTAGTAACCCCTAATTCTACACCACCTCAAAGCTTTAAACTCCACCCCACCACCAATTTGACAGAAAAAATGTACAAAATTTGTCCAAATTAGCAAACACGTGATGAATTTCATTGCAATCAATTACAATTTCTGATCAATTACAAGCAAAATTAATGCTCATATAAATCAAGCATATGATTCAATTTCCAGTTTCAATCACGAATCTACAACAATCACAAACTAAAAAGAAAAACAAAAATCAGGAAACCTTAAATGAATTATAACTCACTATAACCTCCAGATTCAGCATTAAGAGGACCACTATATATAAGGATCGGAATCAACAACGGAAGCCCTGATAACATCGTGAAAATACTCGATCGTCGTTGCTAAGAACACTGTTCAAACACTCGATCGTCAACAACGAACCCTAGAATTTTGACCAGAGAAGTGCGGGATGAGGAGAAGAACACCAACCATGCGGCGACAGAGGCAAAGACGAGGAGGAGAGAGAGAGGGCGGGGAGCGAAAGTGAGGAAGAGGACGATGAGGAAGATGTTGAGGTATTGAGTTTGAAGTGAGTTGAGGCGTTGATGAGGGAAACTGAGAGGTTTGGTAAGAGAGAAAAAAATATTTTTTTAAAAAAAATTGTGACTGGTCACACCGTATGAAAGTTTGTGTAAAAAGAAAGCATGTACAAATAAAAAAAATATATGGTAATATTTGTGGAACTTTCTAAATGGTAATTGTAACAATATAAGGGAAACGAGGGAAGAATGTTTAAACTACATCGAAAAGTCAAGTTGCCTCACCAATCAATCATATTGAGTTTACTAATAACCCTTTAAAGAAGATACGATTAGCTCAAAGAAAAAATAAAAAGGTATTAATTATGTGCTTGTGGCTGATTATTCACTTATTCAGTATTATACTGGACGTGCTCTATACAAAATGGGCAGATGGTCCATTGATAATTTATTTCGAATGGCCTGATTGGCCTGTTTTGGGGGGAGGCTATAGTAGGCCTACTTCAGTGTGATTGATTATCCAATGATCCACATAATTTAAAGCTGAAATATTTGGTTATTCAATGGGGTGCCTTGACCTTGTTTGGCAATTACGAGGAGCTTTTTACTTTTGTTACTCTCATTTTTTAAGTGACACAGTTTGATCGACACGTAGTTTTAGGAGATTTTATTGACCTTAATAAAATAAGATGTTAATGGCCTGGGGTAGGTTGGAGGACTGAGAAATGATAAAGTAAGAGATAGATAGGGTGAACATATATAATTAAAATGTAAGGAATTTCTAAAAGAGGAAGTGCGTCACTAAAAAAAATGGTCGTTTAAGGAAAGTGTGTCACTTAAAAAAACATGGAGGGAGTAGCTTCTTTGACTATTTGTAAGTTGTAATCAGTTTGATTATATGATTGTAATTGTGTAAAAGTAAAGGTATTTCGTAAATTACTATTTCCTCCATTTTTGAATAATTGTAACATTTTTCTAAAACAGTAATGTCACAATACATGTAAGAGAAAGTTTAGTCCCAAGTCTTAAGATTTGGATGTGACATCATTTTTTGCGGTCCTCATTGAAAATGATGTCATCAAATTTTTGTTAAGACTCACTAAGACTTGCACAAACTTATCACTTTAGTCCTAAAACTCAAATATATGACATATTATATGTAGAAAAGTGTAAAAAAAAAAATAAGAATAATAAAAATAAAGTAAGGTGGGTCTCAATTTCAAGTCTTAAGTTGAGTCTTGAAAATTTCAACAAGACTCAACTTGAGACTTGCTTGAGATTTAAGGAGAAAAATGAGAAAGGTCTTAAGCATAAGTCTTAAAACTCAAAATGATGATATCACTCCAAATTTGGGGCTAAACTTGCTCTAAGTGATGTCACACATTATAATTGAATTTTTTTTATGTTGAATGCTGTACTATTACGGTATTACCCTTATTTTAAGTTCATTGTCTACTAAATTATACTCCTTATAATCTCTCACTCTTACTTTAAGTATATTATATCATGTGATGTCTTTTTTTCTTAAAGACGTGAAAAATTATTTGTTACAACTCTTGCAAGTATTAAAAAAAACACGAAAAGTGTTAATTAGCTACGAGTATTAATTATTTTTAGTGTATAAATTAATCAATAAGCTAAAATCTCCTCATTTAGGTTTCTGCAAAATTGTTTGTTGGACCCAAAGATTATTTTAAAAAGCACTTGCCCAAACCCTTACACCTTTAATAATGTTTATGTGATTTGCTAATAAAAGTGCCAACTATACTCAAGAAAATTAGAACCATATTTAAGCTTTGTTTCCACGACTCTATGCCTCTAATCAAGACCCTAAACCTAAATGTAGGCTAACGTTGTCACCTTGATGAGTTAAAAAACAGCGTAGGCTAGTACATAACTTACTCCGCAACACAAATACATACTAGTCCATACTTTACTATCCATCTCCTAATTTTTAACCTATTTTCATTTTTAGTATTGTTTAATTAATTTTGTCTCATACTACATAAAAATTATCAGTTTTGGTTGTAATAAACCACAATTTTACTCTTACATATTTGGTTCACCCTTTTTTCGGGCTATTATCCACAAAATTTATTAATTCTACCATACTCTACTTGTCTCACATATAAAGTATTAAACATACAAAGTATTAAACATTAATGTCAAAGAAATGTAGCAACTTAAAATACAGAGTTGAGCTAAATATATGCATAACTAATTATGATAACAAAATATACTCACATATAACTTTAACATTTACCATTACCATAACTTACACACTTTGATTTAATTTAAACAAGAACACGAATCAAAAGGCCTTAACTATCAGGCTACGACCTACCTCAAACCTAACTTGAGGTAATTAAGGTTCAATATTAAAAATTTAAATTTTCAAGTATGGTAAATATGGCGACAAAGTCGAGGCTCAGCACAAACACTAAGAGGAATCTTTTTAGGATTTGAGAGACCATAAACCTCATCCATATCCAAATCTTGAGGCTTCATGTTATTAGGCAATTTCCATGCAAAACCATGAAGAAGATTAGCCAAACTTGTCTCAATAACTTTAAGGCCAAGATTATACCCTGGGCACATCCTTCTCCCCGATCCAAAAGGCAACAACTCAAAATTGTGACCTTTGACATCTATATTTTTCCCAATAAATCTTTCAGGCCAAAATTCATCTGGCCTTTCATACACCTTAGGGTCTCTTTGTATGGTGAAAGTATTTACAAACACAACGGAACCCTTATGGATATCATAACCTTTAATATTAACTTGCTCCCTTGCTAGGTGAGGCGCGAGCAAAGGTGCTACTGGGTGCAATCTCATTGTTTCCTTTACTATTGCGCAAACATAAGACAAGTTTTGTATATCTTTCTCTAGGACCCATCTTTCCCTTCCTATCACTTGGTCCATCTCCTCTCTAGCCTTAGCTATGATGTCCGTCCTTCTTATGAGTTCAGACATTGCCCACTCAATTGTTGTTGTTGAACTCTCTGTACCTCCAGCAAGTAATTCCTGAAATTCATTTTATGTATATAATACTAATGTATAATATAATGCAAATGTTCACAAATGACAAATGGAGATAAGATTAATAATAATTAAGTTATATGTAATAATAAGTCGCTAAAAACATCTAATAGCTTTTATAACAAATATTCTTCCTTGTATTTAGCCTAGATGTACAATATTACAAGAATATACCATAAAGTGATTTTTAATTGTAGATTATGTTTGGAGAGCCACAAAGACAATTGATCAGAATTGATCCTAAGATCTCTTCGAACTAGGAAAGTTGCTCTAATCACTCCCTCATATAAATTTATGTTGTGTAGGTATAACAAAGTTAGATTAGGACATACCTGAGTGAATGCCTTGACTCCAATTCTTTCAAGCTTAACTTCATTATTAGGATCATCAGCAAGTTGTAATAATACATCCACCATATCTTTTGGGACCCAATTTTCCTTCTCAATTTCCCTTCTAGCATTATGTTCATCCAATACATGCTCCAAAAACCTATCAAATTTCTTACCTAAAATCTTCATCCTCTTCTCATAACCTTGAACATCCATATACTTTAAACAAGGGATCCAATCTCCAAGATTCAATACCCCATTTAAAAAGAACCATTCATCAACCATTGACTTAAATTCCTTTAGTGTTACAATCAATTTTTCTTCTTCATTTTTTCCCGTGTATTTTTTTCCTAACACCATTCTACTAATCACGTTTAAGTTCAAAGTAAAGAGGTAATCTTTCAACAAAATGGATTCTTCATTAGTGTTAAATATACATCTTAAGAAGGAATTAAGTTCTTCTATGCGTATGTACTCGTATGATTCGAGCCTCTTGGAGCTAAAAAGTTTCATCAAGCAAATTTTTCTAGCTAGACGCCAATATGGACCATATTGAGACCATGTTATATCATAATAGTTATATGTTGTATACTTTCCGGAAGCAATTCTAGGCCTTCCGGCAAAGATTTCATCATTCGTTTTTAGGATAATCTTTGCCATTTCTACGGATGAGCCTACTAACACTGGGACTGACCCAAATTTGAGCATCATTACATGCCCATATTTCTTAGAGAGTTTGTCGATAGAACGATGGGGAAGTGACCCAATGAGATTGAAGTTCCCAATGATAGGCCATGGTTTAGGGCCGGGTGGTAGGTTAAGTTTACGACGGCAAAGGTGATTAGTAAGGAGTACTATGGCTATTGCCGCTAGCGATGCGAGAAAATACGTTGCCCAAGTTGGTGCCTCCATTGTTGAGTGGTTAGTTTATGGATTAATGGAGGTATAGCTATGAATGGTCTTTTTTTTTTTTTTTTTTTTTTTTAATTCTCTTAGGGTTGATGGTTTTGAAGTGAAAATCAATACGGTTATTTACTTATTTATAGTAAATGAAGCAAGAATAACTTAAATAATGCATTAAGGTCCAGTTTAGTAAAGCTCCGTAGTGGGTACCTTTTAGCGGTTGAGTAACGGGTAACTGTTAAGGTAGCGACTAGCTGTCAATCAGTAGTGGGTAGATGTTAGCTATCAAAGTAACGGATAATAGTATGCGTGTTTGGAAAAAGTAGCGATTGCATTACTAAAATATATTAATAATAATATAAATTATTAAAAAGAAGTATCCCATCAAAAAAATAAAAAGAAGTAACAAAACATTTACAAATGCTACCCACTACTCTTAAACGCTACTATTTTAACGTTTGAGAAAAAACAACTTAAACGCTACTTCTACCGCTAATTGCTAATCACATTGGTACCTTGTCAAAACGATAACCACTATCTTAAACGTTATCACCAAACAGGGCCTAAATGATGATGAACTTGCGATTTTAACCTCCCTTTTGTTTGTTTTTGCATTGCTTTTATAACTTTTTTATATTGTGCGACTTGGGAATATTGCTGATCTATGGAAAATGACGAATTCTTTCAAAATTGATGATATCGATCATAAATTTCCACAAGATTACAGTAATTCATTGAAGAAAAGTATAGCGAAAAGTCAAGCAAGCTTATCTTAGATGAAATCACTAGCAAAATTGCAATTATTAGTGGGTTAAAACAAAATATAATCAATAATTGATTAAATAGAAAGAGTATCCCATTGAACTTGTAGGCCCTTTTTGGTTAAAGAAATTTGGATGGAAAAGAAAAGAAAGGAAATTGTTTTAATCAAATTCCCATATTTGGTTGAATAAATGACATAAAAATCTAAAGGAAAGGAGGGAAGTGGGAGGAAAGTCTCTTAACAAAATTTTGGCTTTCCTTTCCTCCCAAAATCGGAGGAATTTGACTGGAAAGAGAAAAATTAAAGTAATTTCCTTTCTCTTCCCTTCATTTCCTATTCATCAACCAAATATTAGAAAATAAAATCACCTTCCTTTCCCTTCTTTTCCTTTCTTTTCCCTTCCCATCCTTTCTCTTCTTTTCCTTTACTAATATTGAACCAAAATTTTTACCAATAGTATCTTGATAGAGTGATGACTCGCGCGATCATCCAAAAGAGACGGAAATAATTAGGGAATATGTGGTTATCATATGACACCAAGTCAATTAAGGGGATATGTGGTTTATTATATGACATCAAGTCAATTTAAGTTTATTCAAAGTATTTAATAAACTCCAATGGTTGATTTAATATATGCTATTTTTTAAAGATTCTTGTAGGGCCAAGCTTGGACCGAAAATTGCATGCCCAAACCCGCCTAAAATGGACAGGTCATGCAAGCTTTAATTTTTGGGCTTTTTCAATCCCGGTAAGAAAATAAACAAGAAAATCAACTAAAAATACATAAAAGCGTATGCCCAAACTAGTCCAAAAAAAAAAAAAATCGAGCCGGGCCAAACCCAACCCGATTCAGGCCGAAATTTTTTTTGGCCCAAAACCTACCCTAATCCGTGCTGGGCTAAGTTTGATTAGCTCTAAGTGATACTATTACTATCACACACTCCGATCAAAAGATTCTAAACTACTCTCTCCGTTTTTTTTATATGAATAGTGAAAAATCTCAACTCTAACTTATAAAAAAAAATGGAGAGAGTAGTTTAGAATCCTTTGATAAGAGTGTGTGATTACTAACATATGTGAGTTTGGTCATACATTACATACACAAGGAGCAAAGGAAGTAGTTCAAAGCAAAACGTACATTTATAATATTTACTATTTGGTTAAAATTATATACTTCATAATCTAATAGAATTTTATTACAATGTAGTCTTATCAATTAGGGTCGAGTCATGAGTCATCTCAGATTAGGTCACCTCAGGTTACGAGTCAAGAAATGTTCAACCCTTGCCTAAAGTTTTGGGTTCGGAACCAACCCAACGGGCTTTGAACATTTATTTTATTTAATTTATTTTTTGCTAATTTTTTATTTTTATTTTTTTAATGTATTAAATCAAATATTTCTACCAACATTATTATTAGTCATTACATACCTACGAGATAGCAAATCATTACAAAATCACATCAATTCCTAACTAAATTTTGTATCAATGATATATTTTAAAATTTGATATATAGATTAAAAATTTATCTTAAAATGCAATTATCAACCCGAGCATTGCACGAGGCACAAAATTAGTATATAATATATAAATATGATAATATAATATGTTGTTGGATTTGTCATGATGTCTACTTAAATTAATTAATTTTTTTCATAATTTACTAAACTCTCGCTAGATCTTGTATTACAAATAGTTACATATTTTTGTATTCTGTATTTGAGAAGCACGCATTCTTGATTAAGACGGACTTATATTAAATTATTATAAGATTATTTAAAGTTATCTTAATAACATGTAATCATTAATAAAAACAAAAATACAAATTAAAATACAAAAACTCATTGCAAATTAAAAGTTACCCTTAAAGAGATTAAATTTACCATAAAATTGTTAAAGTTACCCCCACATTGTTAAAGATACCAATATGTTAGATATTATCAAATGTATAACTAGCCAAACAAAGACCATTTGTATTTGATAGAGAATATCCGTAGAATATTCTCATCCTAGGTTTAAGATATATTTTGTATAAGATTATCTTTGATATTTGTACATATCTAATATCACAGCTTATGTTAGATCTTGGGATTGTTTAGATCTAAAATTTTCTCTTCCCCTGCCGGTGGGTTAGAAACTTAAACCCACTAGCAGGATTCACAAACAATTACACAAAACACACTTTTTTTTTAATTATGGAGTACGATGGTTGACCATCACCGACAACCCCTCTTGTGCTCCAACTCCCACCACACATAGGAGCTTTGTGCACCACCTCTACCTCTTGGTTCTCCACCTAATATGCCACCTAGCTCACTCATAGTCTTCCTTCTTTAACCTAATCTGTGAGTGAATTGCAATGTTGCATAACGTATCACAGAATTATAATAGTCTGAGATGAGCTAGACCCAAGAGATGAACCACGCACCCTTCATATTTAATTTTTTCCCCTCCACGTCATCGGCATCAGTAGCAGCAAAGGCAGAGTCTTCCTCCACCTCCTAATTTATTGCCGTCACACTCCAAGCCATCCTTCCAAGCGGAGGTATTTAAACAATGGCCATCTTTCCTCTTTGGAGTCATGTTCATTCACGTACAATATAAAGAGACGAGAGTTGTTGGATTGGTTTTGCTCAAATTGCCAATGAAATTTTGACCTTTTAAATTATTTTTAATGTTTAAACTAATGCATATATACGGTGGGCTTTGTCATTCTCTAAATTCACCCGCTACTTTGTATTAGTTTTTGGTGGGATTTTTCTCCTTGCGTGGTCATTTTTTTTAGAGGTAGATGTTTCCAAGTGGTTTAGTGATGGGAATTTAGTATACTCCGGAGCAATTTTATTTGCTTTTATTCAATTGTGATTTCCCGCAGCATTAGTGCTCTATCTTTTGACGGTGGTCCGATTCTCTCCTTTTCTCCGGATCTGCAATATGGTCTAAAATCGCAACCCGTGTGCGGCCCTTCAACCTCTACTTGGTCCAGCAACACTCTTTTCTCTTATGCGTAGATTGTGGCTATTTCTTCTCCTCGTCATCATCGGCACTCTTTGGCTGCTTCTCTTTTGATCGTGGGTTACTATAATATCCTTTACCGTTCGATGCAAGATTCAGATCCAGTCTGAGCATCTGATTTTTCTCCCGCTCCGACTGCGGGGGTGTGATAGAGAATATCCGTATAATATTATCATCATAGGTTTAGGATATATTTTGTATAAGATTATCTTTGATATCTGTACATATCTTATAGTTACCTATTACCTATAAGTATTGATAAATGGAAATCACTATAATCGAGGAATTTCATATTATCTAACAGTATTTACGATTTTTACTAGAATGTTCACCTTAGGCCTTAGAGCCAATTCGTTGAGGCCATCATGCACTCGTGTGTATGTGATACAAAACATGTAAGTAATATATAACTAATTTGCTAAAAAATGAAAATGATATTAATAAGAAATATAGACATTTCTCACGAATTATTCTATAACAATTCAATCCAATTGATGCATATAGAACTGAGAAAAAAAAAGGAAATTTTGAAAAACTACCTATTATAGTCCAGAATTTGCGAGAAACTACTTATTAAAAAAAATGTTGTAATTGACTACCTAATTTTCGAAAAATGTTGTAATTTACTACCTTACGCCGGATTATGAAGGAGTTTGACCAAAGTTCTCCGGTGTTGAATTGGTCACGTGATCATCACGTGACACTTAATGACCTTTTCCTTTCATCAAGTGTCACGTGACCAAGTCAACGCCGGAGAATTTTGGTCAAACTCCTTCATAATCCGGCGTAAAGGTAGTAAATTACAACATTTTTTAAAAATTAGGTAGTCAATTACAACATTTTTTTTAATAGGTAGTTTCTCGCAAATTCTGGATTATAATAGGTAGTTTTTCACAAAATTTCCAAAAAAAAACATCATATACTTATTCCAAAATTTTATTACATGTATCGGTTGATGATGCGCAACTCTTCAAGAAAAGTATCCTTTGTAACCTGTAGGTCTTTGATGACATCTTCGATTTTTATTCGATTTTGTGGTGAATCCACTGAACATTTTAGTCCTACCTTAATGAGAGATTGTATGCACTTCATTTTACAGACATTAGTTGCCGAAATTATATCTTGATTCCCATTTCCTGCGCCATCACTATCATCTAGAAGCCTAGGGTCAACTACCCTGGACAATCGATCTGTCGATAATGCTTTCTTTGCGTACTTGTGAAGGTCTAAACCTTCCTCGAACATGCCAGCGGTGGGAGATTCAGCAACCATCATTTATATCAGCACAATGCCGAAACTGTAAATGTCACCTTCCTTAGACACTCTGCTTCCTAGGCCATACTCTGTCCCAAAATATGAAAAAACATAAGAAAATGTAACAACTTATTATTTTGTATAATAAATAAATAAAATAATAATGCATCGTTTAAGAAACAGAAGCACGGAGTAGTAAATATATTAGTCATGGAGTTACCGGGAGCAGCATATCCAACAGTCCCTTTAACCGCAACTGAACTACTAATACGTGAACTTGATTGTGAATGACATCTTGCTAACCCGAAGTCTCCAACATGAGCAACCATGTCATTGTCGAGTAGAATGTTGGCTGGTTTGAGGTCGCAATGAATTATTGGAATGTTACAATAATTGTGCAAATAATCCAGTGCACATGCTACATCAATCGCAATGCTTACTCTTTGGAGGAGGCTTAAGATATTTTCAGTATGTTGATCGTTGTGAATCCATTGTTGAAGATTTCCATTTGGCATGAACTCGTAAACTAACGCCTTAAAATCATTGCCTTGAAAGTCAGTACTCGAGCAAACAGTAAATATTCTTAGGAGGTTTCTGTGACGAATATTTCTTAATACTTCACACTCTGCCATGAAGCTCTTTGTAGCCCCCTTGAGATCAAGGCTAATGACTTTAACAGCTACAACCACCTTCTTATTGTGTTCGAGATCAAGGACTCCTTTATAAACCGAGCCAAAATGACCTGCACCAACTAAGTTTTCTTTCGAAAATCTATCTGTTGCTCTCAAAAGCATGTCATAAGATACTTTTAAGAAGGGCAACTTCAAGTTCAACATTAATCCTTGAGATATCTTGTTCTGTTTCCTCATAAAATAAACTACGAAATATATTAATGCTAATATCACACCAACCAAAGAAGCTACCGCGATGATTAAGGTCACTACAAAACGTAATTTATGCTGCCTTTTGGACTTGGTTTGGCTATCTGGCAAATGAAGCTTATCCCCACTATAATTTTCTTCATTTCCAAAATATTTTTCTGCATTCAAATTCACAAAAATTTACATATATTACATTAGAACATATCCCTCCAAGTTGAATGATCTAGATAATTATATTGGTAAAAGATAAATAGAGAGTAGACTCAAAGCTCAAAATATTGATTAATAAACTTACATTATGGGACTATCAATTGCTGGTTCCTACATGCGCCTGTACGGTGCAACGTACAGTCGTTTTGTAGGAAAGAACATAGTATATAAATGTAATAAACATATAGTTATAGTGAAAAGAACATACTTGCACAAAAAAAAAAAAAACATATGTTTATGTTCATTGATCAGTCAGTGTAATGTACTTTATTTGCAACATAATGATCATTGTTTAATGTGAAATGTTTATTAAATTTTGTCTTCAAATTAGGGTGGTTATATATAGATAAAGTTTATTACATAATATTATCATGTTCTTTATTAATACTGCAGATGTTCTTTAGATATGAAAAAATATATAACATTGGATGTTCGTTACAAAACAAATATATGTTCTTTATAAAATAACTGTATGCTCTTTATAAAATAGTTACATGTTCTTTTTGCATTTTTTGGTTGTACCAAGCAAGGTATAGCCGCCTGCACCTTAAAATTTTCATGGGACTATGTGCATTGACTTGCAATCTTGTATTATAGACTATCCAACCACTTCACAATATTTAATGTCAAATTGTGATTAATTAATAAGATGGATGTTAACTCATTAACAACTTCACATCCTCATCAAGCATATTATAAAATTTAAATTGTTTTTAAATTTAATCACATTGTGTTAACGTTAACAATTCAAAGGTATTGAACTATTGACCAAAAGTAACATGAAAAAAAATGATCGGAACTTTAATCGAAATTATTGACCAAAGTAACATGAGAAACAGGGAATTTCCCAACTTTAATAGCAAAAGATATTAGCACTAACCGTTACGGCAACTCTCTCCGTCGATAAATCCATCACCAATGAAACCCTCATCACACTGACACCGGAAACCGGAAGCTCCGGCAACTTGAATACAACGAGCCTTTTCATGACACCGGCACTCCCCATTAATCCACCAACCAACCTGAACCGCCTCGAACTCTAGCCATGTATCAGGGTTACCTCCAGAGACGAAACTGTCAACAACAATCGACGAATACAATAAATCACATCGACTGTCAATGACACCCTCGTACCTCAAAAGTTCACCTTTTAAAGTACCGTTCTTCGAGTCATAGCAGCTCATGCTGTCTTTCTTCGAACCACACAATGCAAACCTGCTTTCCGACAAGCTCGGCGGAATCATGTACAGTTCTGTAAAAGTAGACCGTTGAGATTGGTTAAAGCGTAGTTTTTCCCGAAAAGATGTCTGATTTCGGTTATCGAACGGCTGCAATTTGGAGGGAAATTGAGTATGATGGAATTCCATGTTATGCTTCGTATATCATAACCTTTGAATAACATTCTACCGTTGGATTTGCAATCCAACTGAAACTCACAATTTTCGGAGAATCCGAAAGGGTACTGTACTTTTGTTCCTAAGCATGATCTGCTACAGCAGTTTCCTGAGATCTCAATTGCTTTTGTTGCTGATATGGAAGTCGTCAAAAGGATCACCAAATTGTAGATTATTATCATCATTTTAATTCTATCTACATTTTTTGTGGTGGTTTGCATTTTTGTATTTTGTGCATTCGACTTGGATTACACTCATTAGTCATTACAGTAAAGAACAAAGACTTGACTTTGCTATGGTGTTTTGAAACTTCCAAAATAAAATAATTTTGTCCCTGTTATCATTTGATAACGTGTTCATATGATTTTTGACTCCATTGAAAAATACGTTTAATGGCACCTGAAAAAGTCAAGTTACTCGTTATTGTTTGCTCTTAGATTTGTTAGTTCTTTAATTTTTTTATTGAATGGGGTTGATGAGAGAAAAAATAATGGAATTTTAAATAACGAGTATTGTGGTGATTAAAATTTCCAATTGTCGAACAAATTCAAAATAACTTGAATCAAATAAGAAGTGATAGAGGGAGTATACTATATCAGTGTATCATTATCCATCACGAAATATATCGAACTAATATACCTAAAATAAATACTTTAATTTAAACCTTGGTCAATCTTATCGAAAAGAGAATTAAAACATTACTTCTCCGATTTCCATATTAATTATAAAAACTGTTGAGCCCATAAACAACCTGCATGTGAGCATTCTCTTGTCCCGTACTAAAAAACTAAAGGGGAGGGTGTAGTGGTAATGTAATCTCACATTAAAAGAATTTAAGTGTTACCATCACTATATAAGGCTAAGGGGCTACTCCCCTCATTGCCATATGATTTTAAGGTGGAACCTCTTTGAACTTGTGAAGTAGTGGCTTGCACTCTCCTGTGACGAGTGCAGTCTTGACCCGTTATTTGACAAAAACTCAATTGTATTGAAAAGGCAATATAGCAAGAACTCGATACTCGCTCTCTTCTCAATATACTATACATTATTTTATCATTTTATTGGACATTTCCATTCAAATTTCATCATCATATTGGACATACTTTATACAAGATGGGCAGATGGCCCATAAAAGAATATTTAGAATGGTCTGAATAGATGGGCCTTTTTTGGGGGGGAAGGGGGAGGGGGTGGACTTTAAACGGTGATTAAAATCACTCAATGGTCCAAGTCAAATCCAAAATTTCTAAGCCCAGCTACGTATTTATGAGGCTGCCACCAAAATGAATATTTTCTAACAAAACATATTTTACAATAATTTTCATTCATATAAATAAATATTCATTTTCTTTTTTAATTAATAAAAAATATTTGTGTTTGTTCAGTTGTATAAAATGTTCGCTTTTATTGTAAAAGAAGTTTAATTAACATTAACATTAATAATGTTAGACATTAGCATTTTGTTCATTAATAAAAAAAAATATTATTGATTTACTATGTATTTAATTGGTAATAAATCATATAGTTCAGTGAATTGCAGGATATTCATTTAAGAGATTTGAACAAATCAAAGTATTTCACTTGAAGCTTACAAAAATGTTGATGAATAAGGAATAACAATATATATTCATTTTTATTTAAAACTAAAATGTTTGGTTACATAATATAGATGTACAATCTCTTTTATTTAGTTTTATAGTCTCTTTATTTTACTTTTTTTTTATTATAAATGTTCATTTTTATATATTGCAATGTTCAGAAATTAATGTTCATTTTTTTCTAGTTAATGCTCATTTTGTTCTAGTAAATATTCATTTGTGTTGCTCGACTTCAGCCTAGCTGACTGTGACCCTAGTTAAAAGTTTGCGGTTTTAGGTATCATCCCAAAACTTAGAGATATAATTTCAACTTATTATGTCACCAGCTAACTATCCATTTTGAAACCCATGAGTCCATGACCCACGTATTACTGTAACACCAAGGTCACCAACCAGCAAATTGACGGCACAAGTACAGAAATTACTATTGGCAACCTCAACCCGGTGTGTAAAGGCAGCTAGGGGAGAAAATAAAAAGAGAAAATAAACTAAACTACTTACTCTCAAGTTCTCATATTAGTCGTATACTTAAGAAAAAAATTGGATCATGATTTCCCCATGTCCATACAATGAAAACGAAGTTATTCTGTACATTTATTATAATCAAATAATGTGAATTCTATTACCTTCCTTTTATAAAGTCATCTTTGTTAATTAACAATAACAATAAAGTGTTGTAGCATTTACTTTACCAACCACGTCCTAGTCTACATTCTGTTAATTGATTGTCGTGTTTAACTGCTCTTTGAATTTCGTCCATTGTAAAACAGCCAATATGCATTTTACTACTGTAAAAGCTGAATATTTTAAATGCATTTTGATACCATAAATCACCAAATTAGGTACTATAAAAATACATCAAATAGCCTTCACTTGTGATACATTAGAGCCATGAATATCATCTGCCCATCTTTATTCATTTTAATCATCCATTTCTTAAGCCTTTTAAGCTCGGTCTTGTCAAATAGTGAGGACCGTGTTGCTCTCTTAGCCATTAAGTCTCAAATTACTCATGACCCTCATGGAGTTTTAAACTCTTGGAACGACTCTCTTTCGATTTGTGACTGGCAAGGTATCACTTGTGACACTAGCCATCCTCATCGAGTCGTTGGCTTAAATCTTGAGCACAACGATTTGGTGGGAACTCTATCACCTTATGTAGGAAACTTAAGCTTCTTATACAATATTTCCTTAGCCAATAATACTCTTGGAGGATATATACCACCTCAAATAGGTAATCTCTTAAGTTTAAGGTACCTAGCTTTAGAAAATAACAACTTTCAAGGCCAAATCCCGGCGAACATATCTCAATGCTTAAAGCTCCGGTCACTTGGTCTAGGAGGCAACCGTCTTACAGGAATGGTTCCGTCTCAGCTTAGCCTCCTATCTAAATTAGAGTATTTATATCTTTATAAAAACCAGCTTATGGGTGATCTTCTCAGCACAGTCGTTATGAATTTGACATCTTTGCGACAACTGTCTGCATCATTCAATTCCTTTGAAGGAAGCATTCCACACAATATTGGAGCAATACTAAAAAAATTGACTTTTCTTAGTATTGGAGAAAATAAAATGTCAGGTACTATTCCTCCTTCCTTTTACAATCTTTCAAACCTTCAAGTCCTAGATTTGAGCCTTAATCAACTTCATGGAACCCTTCCTTTGGATATCGGGTTTCGACTTCCTCAGCTAACCATATTCCACATAGGTAATAATTCCTTCCATGGAAATCTCCCAGCTTCTCTCTCAAATCTTACTCATCTCGTGGACTTAAGTGTCTACTCTAACAACTTCACTGGAAAATTCATGTTTAGTGCTAAAAATATGCCTAATTTGGAAAGCTTTGATGTCTCCTCCAACTACTTAGGGACAGGAGAAGTGGGGGACTTAAGTTTTCTACAAACTCTTGTTAATTGTACCCAATTATATTTTTTACAATTAAGTTCCAATAATTTTGGTGGGATTTTACCAGATTTTCTTGGTAACTTGTCCTCTGATTTGACCGAGTTAGATTTTGGACTTAACAAAATCTACGGAACCATTCCCATGGGATTGTACAACCTCGTAAACTTAGAGCGACTAAGTCTCCAAGGAAATCGGCTAACCGGTCATCTTTCTCCTCTAATAGGAAAAAAGTTAACTAAACTACAAGCCTTAAATTGTATGAATAATAATCTCCATGGACCTGTCCCTTACTCATTAGGAAATTTATCGCGATTGAGTTGGTTGTACATGGGCTATAATAACTTTGAAGGTATAATACCCTTAAGTCTAGGAAATTGTACAAATTTGTTATATGTGTCACTTAACCAAAACAACCTCACTGGACCTCTGCCTCCTCATCTATTCCATGCTTCGATGATAGTTGAACTAAATTTGCACCAAAACCGCCTACAAGGAGGTATCCCGGTGGAGATTGCTCAACTGACAAATTTAGTGGCATTCGACGTATCAGAAAATGAATTATCCGGTGAGCTCCCTAGTAGCCTTGGTAGTTGCATTAGCCTTGTTGGACTATTTATGGGAGGGAACGATTTCACTGGACCTATCCCTCAATCCTTCAAGTCTTTAACTAGTTTGAATTACTTGCAACTATCTCATAACAGATTATCTGGCCTTATTCCGAATTTTTTGGCTAACCTTTCATTGATGACATTAGATTTATCTTATAATGAATTTGAGGGAGAGGTCCCTAGACTTGGGATTTTTACCAACTCTAGTGCCATTATAGTTGAAGGGAATAGCAAACTTTGTGGTGGGATTTCTGAGCTTCGTTTGCCTAGATGTCCGAAAAGAGAATCAAATAGAAGGGGTAGATTGTCTGTTGCTGTGATCGTGATTATTGCACTGGCTTCATTGATTGTTGGTGTATCGATAGTGGTATCAGTATACTTCCTGCTTCGTACGAAGAGGAAATCCAATAAACTGTCACATACATCATTGTTTAATACAGAGCACTTCTCTAGAGTATCATACGCAATGCTTCTACAAGCAACAGACAATTTCTCAGAAGAAAATCTACTTGGTACTGGCCATTTTGGTTCTGTTTATAAAGGAGTTCTTGATATAGAGGGAAATACAGTTGTGGCTATTAAAGTAATCAATCTTGAAATAGAAGCAGCTACAAAGAGTTTCATGGCCGAGTGTGAGACATTGAGAAATATCCGTCATAGGAACCTTCTTAAGATTGTCACTGCTTGCTCGAGTACTGACTTCCAGGGTAATGATTTCAAGGCATTGGTTTACGAGTTCATGCCAAATGGGAATCTTCAACAATGGATTCACACCGATCAACATGAGAGAACCTTAAGTCTCCTACAAAGAGTAAACATCGCGATTGATGTGGCATGTGCAATAGATTATTTGCATAACAGCTACGACGTGCCTATAATTCATTGTGATCTAAAACCAAGCAATATTCTTCTCGACAGTGATATGGTTGCTCATATAGGAGACTTTGGATTAGCAAGATTTTATTTAGATACAACCGCGAATAATAGTAGTTCAGTTGCTGTCAAAGGTACAACTGGCTATGTTGCTCCAGGTAATAACAAAACTATAACGCTCAAGTACTAAACTTTCATGTCTTTATTTTTGGAGGCCTTCTTTTTTCACCTCTAAATTGTTCTGTTTTTGGACAGAGTACGGCCTAGGAAGCATGGTATCTAAGGAAGGTGACATTTACAGTTACGGCATTGTGTTGATAGAGATGATGACCGCAAAAGCTCCCACTAGTACCATGTTTGGGGGAGGTTTAGACCTGCATAATTATGCAAAATCGGCGTTGTCTGAACAACTGATAAACATGATTGATCCAAGGCTGCTAGATGATGGTGCTTGTGCAAGCAATGAAAACAAAGACCAAAAGTTGGTAGGAAATTATGACAGTAGTAAAATGATGTGCTTGAAGTTACTCATTGAAAGCGGAGTAAAATGTTCAGTGGAAACACCACAAGATCGAATGAGAATCAAAGATGCTATCAGAGAGTTACAAATGACTAGGGACATGCTTCTTACAAACTTTGTATCCCCTGTACAATAAATTTTAAGTTACATTGTATTATATTATCTTGGAAGAATAATATAATACAATGTAACTTAAAATTTAATATAGTATTTGGAGAGTACTCCCTATATTCATAGGAAAGCCGAATTTCTTCACCCACAAACATTTATGTCAAATGCAAGTTATGTATTCTATATTTGTATAATTGTATTACAAAATTAAAAAAATCAAGAATTAAGGACTTATTAATCGTCATTGCAATTAAAAGATTGATACTTAATCTATTTATTTAATGGGTATTTTGCAAATGATATGTCAATTTCATATAAAATTAAATGAAAACATTGCAAGTAAACAAAACCCAAAAAAATATGCTGAGAGCAATTTAATTATATAAATACAAACTTGCGTGAGGTGGAGAGATGGTGGGCGGTGTACATGATTTCTCAACTTAACCGAAAATTCAATGTCATTTGTTTGGGGTGCTTTTTATAAAATTCTTCCAAACTTACTGTGTGATTATTTAATAAATGACTAACCAATTATATCAATGCATGTCAAGTGCATGGGCAGATCCAAGGGAGCCTACCCGGGACTTGGCTTGCTCGACCATTGCCAAAAATGTGTTGTATTAATTATTGTGATAGATAATCCATACTATATGAGTTGTTGAGTTGGTTTTATATCTTTGAAAAATGACACGGTAGATTTCGTAACGGACATTTCAACAACTACAAGTGTAACAAGAAAAGGTTGGTAACTTGATATTCATACAATCAATCCCAAATTCCAAACATAATCATATATATAGTGTTACCGTATATATTATGGAAGTATACAATTCACAAAATTAAAACTTGTGTTATCATATAATTTACTCAAATTATAAAGGAGTAGTTTGATGCACACTCATTGTACATTATTCTAAGTTTCTAACATGGTAGTATATACAACAATTCCTAATAACTCATTTGTCCCAATGACGACATGGACAATGATCAAATTCTATAAAGATTAAATTTACACCTCACCATGAAAGAAATGGGTTAACTAATGTAATTTGGGAAATTAAATAGCCCTATAATAAAATAAATAAACAAATTATAATATACAATTATTGAATTATGAAAGGGGGTCTAAATTCTAACACTCAAACAGGAAGCCGAGGCAAACCCTCTACCGGTGTTACAACCGTACCAAAAAACCTCTTAGACCCCGAACCTGAATCTCCGTCACCACCATTATTTTTCGATGTCCACTTAAACGAACGCCCGAAAAACCGTCCATATCGACTACTTCCACTACCTTCTCCTCCACCATTTCGATACCCTCGTCGTGAACTCGACACCCGAGGCAAAACCACCAAGCTAGCTGACCGGTTCAGCTTCGGCCGAGCCACCATCAACTGCTTCCGAATCTCATCCGGTAACCTCAGCGTAAACCGCTCATGATCCTCACTCGATCGAACCAATGAGTGACCCGTTGAGTGCGATCTCGGCACTCTCCCCTTCGGTGGCATAGGTAGAACCGTAACCTCAACTTCATAACTTGTCGTTCCTGACTCACCCTGCGTCGAGTGATGAAGATCCTCACTCGACGACTCGGGTAATGTGTCAGGAACAAGGTCAGCTCGACAAACAGGGCAAGTAGTATGAGCAATAAGCCAAGCATCAATACACTCAGGATGAAAGACATGATCACATTTCGGTAGCAAACGAAGCGTTTCATCCTTTTCGAACTCGTTAAGACAAACCGCGCATTCGAGGGAACCTTTACCGATCTTCAACTCCTTTACATCGGAGTATAAAAAAGTCGGGAACGTGTCGATCACGGATCGATCAAGTCCCCGCTGGTTAATTCTTACCAAATTACCGTTTCGGGCGATAGTGGTCGTATCGCCCGTACTGGAACATTGTTGGATATAGATGGAAATACATCCCGTGATGAAAAACCCAAGGACTAACACAATCACGATCAAAGCCATGGATGGGCTTACTCTACTATTATCCAACCCATTATAATCGCCATTTGGTGAATTTGACGATTGTTGCGCATCCACCGCACGTGTCGGTATCGAAAGAAGAATTAACAGTAATGAAATAATTAGAAGCTGGAAGATTGGGATTCCATGTGATTGAGTGTAAAGGTTGTTGGTAGTGCAACAAGGGCGGGTCTTCATTTGGGTTAAAATTTTAAGTGTTACTTACAAAAATTAAAGTATATAAATGGGGGTAGGAGTTGTCGTGGGAAGGAAGAAAGTGGGGTCCAAGGGAGTCTTTGCTTTGGCATGTGATGACGTAATAAGGGAGGAAGATTTTGGTAGGCGGCTTTTTTGTGTTTAATCGACGGTAGTGATGCGAGTGATTTATTATGAGAATTGGAGGATTGACTTTATCGGATTTGTATGGGAGTTGAAAATTGACTTTCTAGATAAATCTTGAATTTATTGACTTCTTATAATATTACTTGTATCAATCTAGAATTCTAAATTCAACCATGGATGTTTTTTCTATTTTGTTGATGTAAGATGAAGGTTCAAATGAGATTAAAATGAAGAATAAGAATAATCCTTTTTGTAATAAGGTTACTAATTTTATATGACCTATTCGTATAAACAGATTGCTAGTTAAACGTTTCAGTCTGATATTTTGAAACATTAACTTTTGATTGTGATGTTTATGGTGTGACAACACGAGTGCCTAAGAAGGGAGGACTAAATGTTGTAGTCCATATTGGAAGAGGACCGCTGCCATTAGTAGAAGAAAAAGATAATTATAGTATAGATGGAATATTTTGAAATAAAGGAAAAGGGGGAGAAATGGAGTGAAGATGACTTTTGCTGTTTTAGGAGGGTTGTTCAATGTTCATTGCATTGTCTTTTTAATAAGTTTATTTAATCAAGGTTTTTAAATAGTTAATGGGATAAACTGCTTTATAAATTAGTTCACGAGTTTGCTTCCAAGATAGAGTATTTTGGGTAAGAAGGGTGCTTCCAAGTCACGCACTCTTTTGAAAATATGATTGATGTTATACAATGCTTCCACGCTGCACCTCTATTTATAAAATACTTGTATGAATGTTAATTTTTCAGTTGTTGCTACATATGCATCCACGTTCCACTCTTACTACTTCTACACTCTTATAACTAAACCATATATTGGCTTAAGCCAATTGATATACTAGTATCTTCGTTTTATGTTAAAAACAAATAATAAAAAAATAAAATATAAAAAACATATAACCTGTATATAATTTACTTTTACTATCTTTGATGATTATAATTAAGTAATATAATTTTGTAAAGATGAATTTTGTCATATTCGTATCAATTTAATTATATTTTCAATCTTTTACTGTTCAAAAAAAATATATATTTTCAACTTTTAAAATTATATCCGCCAAAAAAAAAGTCATAATCTATCTATCTATTAACCTATACTAAAAGCAAATCCATTTATATCACTTGTCATTATCTTGTGAAAAATTTTCCCGCATTTTTCATTTTTTTTTTTTTTTTTTTTTTGCAAATTCTTTTTAAATTTTTTTTATCCTATTCTATATATACCTAAATAAAATATTGTTGAATATATTTTATATACCTTATATTTGTAATATTATTGTAAAATTTAACAACCGTACATTATTGCACGGGATTTAAACTTAGTTATTAACTAGTAGGGTATAAAAAAAATTATATTAATATTGAGACAAAATTTGCAAGACCTCACAATATTAAATTTATCCTTGTATAAATATTACTCCGTGCAACAAATAGGTAAAGTAAGGTGTAAAAAATTGTCTTTCAATTTGACCATAATCTAGTATAATATCCATTAAATTATGTATTAACCAAAACAAGAAGTCATTTCACATGTGGACTACTAACGTGCTCCCAATTCTCTCGTAAAGCCCAGCCCAAGTTGGTCAATTGCAAGGCGACTTTTGTTAAAATAAAACCAGATCCTATCCACCCAATTAACCAGGTAGGCACTGGCTAAATATGTGATCATAACAATCTTTTTTACAAATTTAAATTGTTTAATGCATCGCTTTTGATCCCTTAAATCACAACTAAACAAGCCCAAGAGTCAAGGCACATCAAAAAAGTTCAACCAATTTGTTAAACTCTAGATGCTATTGGGCCAATGAATTTCATTGTTAAATGAGACAATTGACTCTGAGAGGTAGAGTTGTCAAATTGGATCTGTAGTTCAGATTCGGATTTATAATGTGAATTATTTGGATAATATGTTTATGATATGATCCAAATAATTCACATGGCTCATAAATTTACTGTAGTAAACTAAATATATAGCCAAGAAAGGTACAAGTTTTTAAGGCCAATAGCCTGTAACATTATAACACAAGTATGATTTGAGAAACTTGAACGTCAATATTGATCTGTATAGCCCTAACATTATTTTAAAGGCGGGTTTTAACAATCCCCGGCATATGCATTTTCATTTTTCATTGGGTTGAATCGGGTAATAGGTTTTTATTGGGTTAGATGAAGATTAAGTCCATTTTAAAGTTTTTGGATTTAAATTGCGCATCAGATTCTTCGAGTTGGTTGTGGATCGGTTTAGATATTAAATTCACTGATTAACTCAAATGATTGATTAATATCATATTGATTTGAATCAATTTCAATAGCATAATTTTTTAAAAAATTATAAAGTTGGATTGAATTTCGATTGATTTTAATCAATTTCTCAAGTCGGGTCAATTTTTAACTGCTCTATTGATAGGGGGATTAGCTTTGGACTTTAGAGTCTCCTCTCTATCTTTCTCTCACGTTGACATGTTGGAAAACTTCCAAACTGTAGTGTTTCCCCAATAAGCATCAGAGATTGAGTAATAATTATCAAATTAAACAGACAAGATTATATATATGTTAGCAACCCAACAACATTATAACTACACCTGAGATGGAACACACTAAACTTTGTCTTAGATTTGCTCTTTATTTTCCTACTCAACCCACCAACTACATATTTTAATTAATCTTTATTGACACAAATTAGTTGAGTACATGTGAACCATAAGAATAATTGTGAAAAAAAAAAATAATAAATCAAAGTGCACAACATAGATTTTCATAACTATATGATTCAAAAGTAGATTTAATTTTTAAAAATAAAATAAAGGAAGCAAAGTTAGGACTTGCACGTCGACACGTCGTTTTATTGGGTGCAACTTAAAATTATGTAATTAAACAATGGCTTCAATAATATTATCTACATTCTACACCCATCTAAATATAATAAAATGGCTTCAATAAAGCCGCTATTTATGCAAGTCAGCCTTATTGTATTAGTTTTGTAAGCCAGGTCGTCAAATATTGTTAAGGAAGAAAGAATTATTAATAATTTAAATGGGGAGCATACTACATGAACTGTTATTCTGTTAACCTATGGTATTTTGATTCTATGTCCATTCTTAATTTTTGAGGAGATTTTAAGGACACCGAATTGCATGTAAACAAAATACACATATGGGACTAAGTCACTAGCTGTGTGACTAATATGTGCTCATATGGTCGAACTCTATAAAATATAGTATTTAGGGATGAAGATCTTTTACCCTTTTAAAGAACCGATTGGAATAAAATAAAGCAATCCTTGTTCATAACGAGGGAAATTGGATGCTAGGTCAATTAGTGGGAGCAATTTAAAAAAAGGAACAAACACATCAAGTAAATCAAATGCGCTACACCACAAACCCTACATAGTCAACTTGTGTGTGTATAGTATACATCCTCCTAATCCAGTAATCCCTTGCCAAGGAGGAAAACATACACTTTGTATAAACAAGGGAGATGTCTTTCAATCTTTCTTTGTGAGACAAAGACACTTTTCCAAAATAAAACCCATGCCATGCAAGCTTTAATTTGTGGTTTTTACCTCCAACAAGATATTTTGACATTCATATATATTTTGAGATAGGAGCCAAAACATAACAATTGGTATTTCTTTGACTTTAGATTACATGAAGCTAAGGTCAAATCTCACCAATCTCAATTTAGAACGGATTTTCCTAAATTTTTACCTTTATAATGGATCTTCTTCTATCTCTCTTAGCGATTCATGATCTTCAATCCCATATTGTACGTAAAAATATGAGATATTTTTCACCGTACATACAAATCACACTGCACACCATATATGCCTAAACATTGTAGAGTGAAAAGGTACGTAGCAAGTCTTTCTGTTTACTAGGTCACACACTCACACAATAGTACATTGTATTGACATTTTTTGGTTAGTTGTATGCTAGAGTCATGTAAAAAGGGTCTATAATGATTTATGTGCACCATATGATTGAAAAAAACCTTGGTCATTTATACAATTATAAGATATGAATAAGGAATGTTTTCTTTCAAAATAACGGAATTGATCGATTTAGCGCGGGGAAAGGGACGAGGAGATCGAACAAAGTGGGTCGAAGCATGTGGTAAAGGAAAATTAAAGGCGAAGCAAAAGAACATGAATGGAAAATTCCAGCTAGAAAGCCAAAAGAAGAGCAAATAATGAACTACTATCTACTATTAATGCTACGTTTATGGTTTGTAATTTTATCATAATTTTATGTATACTTGCTTATAATTTAGTGGTCTACATTGCATCCAACAAACCACATTAATTAACTCTATTTATTCTCTTCTTTATATTTTCTCCCCCTTTATTCACTTCGGGAAAAAAAAAAACTTAAATCAATTTCAAAATTATTATTAAATACTAGAAAAGATAGAATAATTTGTTTCCAAAACATATTCTTTTTGCTTGTTGAAGGAATCTATTTGTTGATATTCAATTTATGAAATCACAACATTTGGTACATGAGAATGTTTGAATTTCCTTTTCTCAACACCCAATGTATAGGTCTATCATGTTAATATTCTTTACTGGTCTCGACTCGATCTATTTTTGATGATATTTTATCTTCTTGTATTTCTTCGTTCTAATGTTGTTATGTGGTCTCACGTTAAGTGGGAGGAAAATGTAGTTGCTCATAATCTAACATATGTTTACGCCTTTTGGTATTGAGCAAATTTGGGAGAACCAATGTCCTTGTGAGGTTTCTCTATATGAGGTTTTTCCGTATATTTAAATAAACAAATTATCATTTTAATGCATCTCTTGACTTTGCTTCAAAAAATATAGGTGTATCGCGTTAATTATGATGTTATTTACATGTATTAACACAGTTACAATCTAAATCATATTTTAGATAGCATCCAGCCAACAACTTACACCCTAACAATATATTTCTAAACTTTCTTTTTTCAGAATTTCCCGCATTTGTATAAGCCAAAATAACATATAGTAGACCATAATGCCTTTATTAAATTAATATTCTCTTCTTTAGAGAAATTGTCGTTTTTCTTAAAATTGAAATGATATGAGTATCTTTTCCGGGAACACCGTGTTAATTTGGAGGGGAGTATAGGACATCCTTTCGTCAAGAAAACGCCAATTATTTAATGTTGAAGCTTTTTTATTTTTATTTTGTAAAAAAATATCCACACACTAACAAACACTTATTTTTGGGGTTTTGGGTGGCAAAATATCGTTAAATCATTAATTTTTCCAACCATTTTTTTTCTTTCGAAATGACTTATTGTACGGTACTCCCACGACTCTTCCTCTCTATATTATTGTTATCGTTGTTATATTATGTACATTCCCATAATTATTCCTTTTCATTATTGTTGCAATATAGGATCAACAAATTTGCAAATATACCCTTTGTCAAAATATTTTCATTAATTAATTAACAATTAAAATATAGTGGTATTCTTTTATCAAAAAAAAAATATAGTGGTATTCTACATAAATAAAAAACAAAAAATAAAAAAAATTCAAGTCTGAGATTTTATAAATAATAAAATAAATAAACTATTGG